ATCATCGCGGTCTGTGAATGAGCCGCTTCCGGAGAGCCAGGACGAAGTTGACCCGGCCTCCGTCCCACTGCCGATGAGTGAGCATGATGTCCAGGAGATTGAAACCACAGGCTTCCTCCCGGAGCTCGACACTAGCGACATCCAGACGATGCAAGCCGTTGTAGCCCATAAGGTTCGACCCCACAGCCTTATGGTGCTGACGCTACCCTCACCAAGATCGCCCTCATCGAGCGGGAACTCCCCTATCACGCCCAGGTTAGTTAACATCAAATCGCCGCGCCATGCTCGGTCACGGTCTTTGCCCAATGCTGCTCCTACGGATGAACAACCATCCGAAGTTGAGCAGCCCGCCGAGCGCACGTCGCCAACTCCATCAGAGGAGCGAAGACGCCTGGAGACGATGTACGAGCATGACGAGGATGACGAGCGGCACGGTGGAGCGGCAACTAAATCAGAGACCGCCGAACAAAATGAGTCGGTGGTTCCTAGCGCTGCACAGGGGGCCGCCGCGACCCCGTCCACATCGGTCGCATCGGTCGTAGCAACGAGTGACGCTAGTAGTACCCCAGTGTCGTCACCTTCTCTGACCGACCGTGAGATCCAAGAAACCGACGAGGTTGAGAATCATGAGACAGACGAAAAAGCTCAAGTGGCCTCTGGGGTAGAAATTGCTCCTGGGCCTGTCGCGCCACAAACGCAGGGGGTCGTCGACTCCACCCCGGCACAACCCGTCGCCGCCGATCAGGATGCGTCCAAGGCTGCTGATTGTGACCAGTCTACTCCCGACGACTTAACCCCTCCAACTGTTCCATCTTCTGCGGACGACATCGCCGTAGAGAAAGCATCTCGGCCTGTTTCAACTTCTGGAGAGAGCGCAATTTCGGAATCCTCACGATCATTGCCTGGCAAACGCGGCTCGTTCGTACCCGGGGTTCAGCATCAGTACGGGCGCTCGAGCCCAGGGACAGCCTCCGTCAGCTCCGGCGTCGAACGCGCCGCAGTCCAGCGATTGCCGGCACGACCATCCACTTCAGTGGCGTCTTCTGTCTATTCCAAGTCTCGTCGCTCAGGCAGTTTCAGCAGCAGCCGTGAGAAGCGTCCTGTCACTGCAGGTTCTACGACTTCTCAGGTATCGAGCAAGTTGAAGGGTCTTATCGGTCGCCCTGCAGATACTGGCTCGCTTCGTCTCCGTACCTCGTCTGAGGTCAGCAGGGTCTCGACAAGGGAGTCGGCTTACGACGATACGTCCGGCCTGGACGAGTTGATCCGCAGCGAGGAAACAATCCATTTCACCTTGACTCCCAAGAGCATGAGGGAAATGGAGGTGAGTCAGCCATTGTTCCGCTCCTTTTGCTATTGCTAATCCCTCTTATTAGTTGCCGGATTCACCTAGATGGCGTGCTCAGCAAGCAGGTACTGATCCGACCGACCTGCCGAAAAGCGTTGAACCGAACCCAGATGACATGTCTCGGTCGAGACACTCAACTGCATCATCGAAAAGCACGGTTGACCTTCCACCAGTACCCAAGTACATCCAGTCGAAACCCAAATCCATCGAAATTCCCGCCATGGTCCAACAGCAGAAACCGGCTGCCGGACAGGCTCGGGATGCGAAGCACAGCATGGAATCGACCCGTGATTTTGCAAACTTTTTGAAGTCCACCGGACCGAATACTCCTACCACTCCTGCAACGGTTGATGGTAGCCCTGCCAAGTCGTCGCGCCTGCGTCGGTTGTCTGATGCCACTGAGATTTCGAAGAAGCTGTCCCGGCCTGCGAGTAGCACTGTTTCTGTTGCAGCCTCTGCCCGTAGCGGTCCCCGCATGGAAGCCCGTTCTGCTGTGGTTCCCCGGGGTGATCAGTCGTCCGACTTGATCGATTTCATTCGGGAAGGCCCACCAACGGCTGGGGCTCATCGTATCCCGCGTACTGTTGCGCCTTTCAGGGATACCATGGACTCGGACGAGCTCCAGGCTATTGAGCCAGGTCGCACAAAGGGTGCCCCCTCCGTGGCTAGCACGCAATCGGTAGCTGAGACGTCTCTGGTCTCCGTGGGCTCTCGCACAGGGCTTCTGGAATCTACTAGTCGGACAAGCACTCCGACTGTCATGGCCCAGGAAACGAAGACGACATTTGCCGCTCCTGTGAGCGTATCCGATGACCACCGTCCGCCACGGACACGACGCCGTGTACCGGACCCTTACGCTATTGACTTGGACGATGACGACGAGCTTGATGAGCTTCTTGAAGAACCAAAGCCCAAACGTGATGAGGAGAGTCTGATCGACTTCCTGCGCAATGTTCCCCCGCCAGAGCCCACTCCGCCACAACAGCCTTTGGCGGCCAATGCAAACTCTCGGCGGGGCTCAGCATCAGTGAAAGCTCGTCTGCGTCGGAACACCGCATCCGAGAAGACACTTATGGCGAAACCCTCCAAGACCTCCCTGCGTCAACAGCCCGATAACTACATGGGAGGCGCTTCGAACTATACTGTCAAAGTCGGCATGGAGCGCAATGCGGGAGCCATGAATGGCGCCTATGACCTCAAGACTCCCTCGGTGCGACAGACCGAGACCAGCGCACTGGCAGATTTCCTCAAGAACACTGGACCTCCTGAGCCTCCCGTCAGCAAGGCTCCTGCTGCTACCAAGTCTAAGGACTCGGGATTCTCGCGACTCTTTGTTCGCCGCAAGAAGGTCGAGGCATGATGTGTCTCCTTCAATGCGTCTTATATTCCCCCTCCTGTGTCCTAATGCTCTACATTGTCACTCTCTAATCATTGCTTTGAACACGATATCATAATGTGTTAGGCAAACGACATGCCCTGTTCGCCGTGGCGAACTCTGATGACCGATACTGTCTTTTATTTCCTTGCCCTTTTCCTGTCCATATTGGAGCTTTATTCTTTCGCTCATATCTTATATTTCCTTTCCCTTTTGGATTGCGGTCTGCCTTTGCACCTCTTGGATGTATCACTCTTTCCAGCGGTGTTTCTTTCTCACGCTTGATTCCCCCTCTACATTTCTTCCTTTATCTATCCACTACTGTGTGGACCTTTTCTTATTTACTTAGTATCCTGTGGAAGAGAGTTTCAATTATGGCCTATGAATGAGATTACTTGACTTTTCAAACGCCTAAATTGTTGATAGAAAGAATTTTAACGACTTAATCGGATATTTAATCCCTTCACTATCATGATTCGAGTAGTAAGTAGGCGTCCAAAGACAATGTAGTGTGTGTAGTTTGTATAGATCCGGCGTGTGGGCCAATATCCGGAGAAACGTTCCACCGAACGATCGGGATCCCCTGGGCTCCAGAGCGCGGCGTGGCATCAATAGCAGCAGCACAGCAGCTTCCGAGCCTCGTTGTCAATTATAGTCTCCTTCCCCCCGGCCACTGCCACAACTGCCATTGACAATGGCGGCCACCCGTCTCACAATGAGGTCTTTCCTCGGTCTTCTCTTCCTCTTGTTCGTTCAACTCACCTCCGCCCTGAAGTTCGACCTCTCTGCCGTGAGCGGGAAGAACGAGCGATGTATACGCAACTTCGTCTTCAAGGACCAGCTTGTGGTCGTCACGGCCATTGTGAGCGGAAACAAGGGTGATGGTCAGGTTGTTAACATGCATGTATGTCGGAACTCACCCCATTGTTGTTTGGTGATTACGGGAGGCACGCTGGTCGGGCCAGCTGTTTTGTTGTCTCCCGATGTCCTATTCCACCTTGGAATTGTGTCGCTTGCGAAAAAAATGATATACTTGGCTAACTACTTTGCTTTCTGAAATAGATCAAGGATGCGCTGGGCAATGACCACGGTCGCCCTAAGGATATTGCCGGAGAGACTCGCCAGGCCTTCACTTCTCCCGCTGATACTGCCTTCGATGTTTGTTTCGACAACCAGCTCACCACTCGTCGTATGTCTATCCACCTTGGTTATTCTGTCTCTTGATATGCTAGGGATACTAGTTGCTGTGTGGTGTGTGTATGTGGTGCTAACCAGACAACCCTATCAGACGCCGTTGCCAACCCCTACAAGTCCATCGAGCTCGACGTCGACATCGGTGCCGATGCCCGTGACTGGTCTAGCATTCAGGTCCAGGAGAAGCTCAAGCCCGTTGAGACCGACCTCCGCCGTATCGAGGAGATGGTGGCCGAGATTGTCAGCGAGATGGAGTACCTGCGCGCTCGCGAGCAGAAGCTGCGTGACACCAACGAGAGCACGAACGAGCGTGTGAAGTGGTTCGCTTTCGGTACTATGGGTATGCTGGTTGGATTGGGTGCTTGGCAGGTTGTGTATCTGAGGGCTTACTTCAGGTATGTTATTTTTCTCTCTATGCCGCTTCCCCTAGTCTGGTTTTTGGGTGGTGTGGCTAACTGCTTTGGATATGTAGATCCAAGCACCTTATCTAGACCATGTCGGTTTAAATCTAGAATCGTGAGAAAGAGAAGGTTCCAGGTTGATGCTTTCTCTCTTGTCATGACAAAATATGGACTATTTTTTTTTTCAATGCATTTCATTATCATCTTGGCCCTATGTAGCTCCGGGATTTGCTTCACGGTACACTGATTGATTATTTGATGAGGAGTATGACAACTGTGCATGTATATTGGTGCTGGTGATCGGTATTATTATCAAATTTCTAGCCATTTTTAACCACATAGAAAGAAGGCCTCTACCCGAAGTCGAAAGACCGTCGATAGGTGCTGTAGTATGTCACCACGAAGCCGCTAGCAATAAGACAGCCAACGCGATACTGTGTAACTCCAGACTGGATTCCCTGCTAGTTAATAAGACTTCACTCTTCGAGAGCCAATTGCAGCCCACAGACTATGACATCCTGCAGTCATAGCAACATCAGCGAAGCAAGGGGAGCAAAGCGACCGCCGTTGGAAATGCGCCGGAGACGGTTGGTGAACAGCCCTGCAAACAATGCAAACGAGGTTTCTCCGGATGATGTCAACCCCGTCATTCTTCGGCTTCGGTTCTTACTTTATCGTCGACCTCCCCCCAGGATATCACGACCAATCCTCCAATATCCCATTCATTTCCACTATAGACCAGTGCCAATCACCATAGCGACATCATAATGTCTGCACCCAGACTCATCAACCGCTTCATGCGGCCATCGACCTCGTCAACCTCTCTTACGACAACTTTTGCCCGGCGCTCCTTCGGCAGCTCGGTTGTTCGTCAAAACAGCGTGAACAACAATGATCGCGCACCATCCACGGCCCCCGAGCATCGCAAGAACCAGACAAACAAGCCCCCTAACCCTCATGTGCCCAACACGACCTCCACCATGACCAAGGACTTCCCCAAGGTCGGTGAGAAGCCGGCTCCCCCGGAGATGTTGAACTCGGTCGACCCCAACTACCGGCCGGCGGATCCGTACCCCGGAAGAGTCGAGCATTTCACCGGAGGTCGCCAGGAGACGGGGGCTCAGAAGCCTGAACTTGGTGTTGGAGAGATGGAGGGCATTACCTTTAAGGTTGAGCCGCTGCGCCGGGAGGGCGAGGATGTTACTACGATGAGGGCTCGTTTGTTGTGTTCGTGATCCCCAGTTCACTTCCCCTTTGAGTCTTTCTGTTTAGAATGAGTAGCTGATGCAAATCCGGGGATGGTATAGATCAGAGCCGCAAGCGCGGAATCCTAGAGTCTGATCTCCTGTTGTCTACGTTCGCCGATGTTTATCTGGCCGATATGAACAAGGAGCAGTTGCAGGAGTATGACCGGTTCTTGGATGAGAATGACTGGGATATTTACTACTGGGCCACCCAGGACCCTCCGGCTGAGGGGACTGAGGCTGCTGTTTCCACTGAAGCAGGCGCTCAGGATACTCCCACGGAGACGTGGAAGCGTACTGGAGCCAAGAGCGGCGAGTGGGCGCAGACGGTTGGTGCTTTCAAGGCTGCATACCGGCCCGTTCCGTCACGATGGGCCGACTCCAATGTGCTGAGACTCCTGCGTCAACATGTTCGGGATAACAGTGCCACGGGCTTCCATGCTGCTAAGACTAAGAAGACTGGTGGACCTGGTTTGGGACGTATGCCCAATGTGCAGGTGTTCAACAACTGAGCTTGCTAGTCTGCTGCCATAGGCATGGTGGCGTGTGTGTAAGTGACGCGAGATTGTATAGTTGGCTTGTATTATATGTTGGGCGAGATTGTACAGATTATACACCGGGATGGCTTTACAGGGATATATTGGGAGGGTTATAAAAGTATTGCCGTTCGATAAAGAGGGTTCATTCCCACTTCAAACTTTGATATCTATGATATAGATGGCCATAGGCGGTCAGCAGCCGAGGCAGGCGGTGAATATTCACGTGACTCGCTTATACGAGTTAGGGTTGGCGGTACCGCACAACGGCGAGAAGGGCTGGGCGCGCTAGTTAGGGCTCAGGCGGGCACGCTGAGTGTCTGCCACTCCATCCTCAATGCTGTGATTTTTATCTCCAGCCTAGAGTCAACGACAATTGCTCCGCCCGCGTTCATCCCTCTCTCCTCCCAGACTCCCAACATGGCTGAGCAGCTCGTCCTTCGCGGTACCCTTGAGGGTCACAATGGCTGGGTTACCTGCCTGGCTACCTCTCTGGAGAAGTAAGGCAACACTACACTACCACCGAAATGAACACATGAAACAAATGCGTTTTGTTGCGAAAATCGAACAAGGTGTGCATGTGCTACCGAACAAGTGGTATATGGATGCATTGTTGCGAGAAAAGAAAATGATCGCATTGGTTGAAACATGAATATTCATATATCAAATGGACAAAACTGGGTTCTGACTTTTATGTTTTTCTTCCTCGATTATAGCCCCAACATGCTGCTCTCTGGCAGTCGCGACAAGACCCTGATCATCTGGAACCTGACCCGCGACGAGCAGGCCTACGGTTACCCCAAGCGCAGCCTTGAGGGTCACTCTCACATCGTCTCTGACTGTGTATGCCTTCCGAATCACTCCGTCCCCACCATGTCCCAGTCCAGACAAGAAAAAAGAATCATCCCCACAACGAAGGACGAAGCCCGATCGAGACCTACGAGAAGGCGGGACTGGGAAAAGCATCAAGGGAAGAAAACTTTTGGCTGACCGTTCATGGGGATTATATAGGTGATCTCCTCCGACGGTGCCTACGCTCTGTCCTCCTCCTGGGACAAGTCCCTCCGCCTGTGGGAGCTCTCCACTGGTGAGACCACCCGGACTTTCGTCGGCCACACCAACGACGTTCTCTCCGTTTCTTTCTCCGCCGACAACCGCCAGATTGTCTCCGCTTCCCGTGACCGCTCCATCAAGCTCTGGAACACCCTTGGTGACTGCAAGTTCACCATCACCGACAAGGGCCACACCGAGTGGGTTTCCTGCGTTCGCTTCAGCCCCAACCCCCAGAACCCCGTCATCGTCTCCGCTGGTTGGGACAAGCTCGTCAAGGTACGTTTGAGTCGACTCCCGCACATCCAAGTTTTCCATTATCCGCAATTTCGACAAGTCCAGAAGATGTTTTTGCATAAACGTATTTGCTACTTCAGAGCCTCATGGCCATGAGACAAACATTCACCAATGCCCTGATGGACACTCGACAAACATATTTTGTTTATGTTGTTATTGCTCTTATTGCTTTTCCACTGAGAACTTCAACCTGAAGAGGATGTATCTGTGGGATCAAAGCTAACATGCAAAAACAACTAGGTTTGGGAGCTCGCTTCCTGCCGTCTCCAGACCGACCACATCGGTCACACCGGCTACATCAACGCCGTCACCATCTCCCCCGATGGATCCCTCTGCGCCTCCGGTGGCAAGGACGGCACCACCATGCTCTGGGATCTCAACGAGTCCAAGCACCTCTACTCCCTCCACGCCGGTGACGAGATCCACGCCCTCGTCTTCTCCCCCAACCGCTACTGGCTGTGCGCTGCTACCGCCAGCAGCATCACCATCTTCGACCTCGAGAAGAAGAGCAAGGTTGACGAGCTCAAGCCCGAGTACGTCGAGAAGGGCAAGAAGAGCCGCGACCCCGAGTGTGTCAGCTTGGCCTGGAGCGCTGACGGCCAGACTCTGTTCGCTGGTTACACCGACCACAAGATCCGCGCTTGGGGTGTCATGTCGAGGGCATAGATTGATACCCATCAAGTAATCCAAGGGACGGTGTTGAGATTTTAGCGGAGGAGAGAAATCAAATAACAAAGATATCTGTTTTTTATTTTTTCCTTTTCCAAACACACACACACAAAAAGGGCAGGCATTGGTTGGGATGTATGAGCCATGAAGCAATGAAAGCACCTCGGAGGGAGGGGAGTTCTCTCTCTTCTCTCCTGGGTTTTCACCTTGAACATGTCTAGCTTTTACTTCGAGATTTTCCGTTTCATAGAAATCCGAATTGTCTGGAGTCTTGTGAAAGGGATGACATGCAAAATTGTTCTAATACCATTTAAAAGACTGTTAAAAAGTTACACCCTATCACTGGAGGAGAGACATTGTAGACATACTTTACCTTGCTACTTACTATACTGTCTTTGGTATCTCCGATGCGGGGTCTGGTGATGGTATTAGTATCTATCTATTCACCGATTCGTAGTATTACCTCAACAGCCTTGTGGGGTCATAATCATGTCGCTGTTCTGGATTCGATTCATCTGGTCGATGGAATGCTCCATACGATCTTATCCCCAGATTCAACCTCCATTTGAGGCTCTTCTCGGGACCATCCCTGAGATTGATCTACATGGCTAAGATCTCGTACCTTGCATGACACCAGGCTATGACATTGATTCTGTCAGTGCTATGTAGCTATATCTCTATAGATATGTTGTCCACAATCACACAATTATGATTATTTGTTACTACTCACTTCATATACGTCCTTTTGCAATAAAGCTAGCGGGTATCTCCAGGAGCGATGACCTTATATACGTTATTGCGTGCATCACCGTTCAGTCTCCAAACTTCCTTCTGTTTGTTTTCAATATGTTTTCTAGAATCTGTATGATATACTCTTCTGGAGCTTCATGTTTATTTCTCGATGCCTCTTTCTTTGTTATTGTGAAGTAGTACTATCAAGTCATTGAGTGCATTGGACAGCTTAGATCACATCCTGCGTCTAATCCTTATTCTCACCTTGAGAATCCCGTATTGTATGCGATCAGACCGATGATACCAGAAAATAGCTAAAAGAAATTTACATAGTTAGCTAGCAATCTCCGGATATAGTAAAAGCACCGTAATGCGGCAAGATTGAAGCAAGGTAGACATGAGAAAAACCAGTTGTTTTCATAGTTGCTAAGCAGAGCACAAACAGCGGGAAGTTCCAGACCCCCCTTCACTACTTGATTAGGTTACAGTTAGAGATTCCCGCCAATCGATCGTAGTTTAGCTTCTTTCCTCGCCGCCCTGCCGCATGACGTCGCAACCTATTCTTCCTTCCTTTCTTTCTATCTTTCTCTTCAGTCGCATTCCACTTCAGCTTACTCTTCTATTACCTTAGCGCTCTAATCCTTACCTGACTGATAATTCAATCATCTCACCATGTGTGGAAGATACGCTTTAGGCGTGGTACGTACCTCATCTTCCGCCCTGTATACTACACCGGTGGTACTATATATCACCATCACCATCACCATCACCACTAGCCACATGTAACTAATCGATGAACAAACAGCGCATGAACTTCATCCGCCGCCGTCTCCAAGACCAAGGCCTCCAAGTCGACGACGCACCTCCTGACGAAGACGTCCGCGAAACTTACAACTTCGCACCGGGGAATACTGGCGCTGTATATCTTGCCGATACGCATATGTACCCGTCTTCTCATCATCATGATGAACCAGCTAGTCAACCTGACGCCGATAAAGAGGCGACTGAAGCAGCAGCAGACGAAGAGGAGGAGGAAGAGGAGGTAAGAGAAGAAAAACAAAAGAACAGCAAAGCCACCAAATACAAGCTCCACAGCATGCGCTGGGGTCTCATCCCGTTCTGGACGAAACGTAACCCCGACTACGGAAGTCTTATGCGTACGATCAATTGCCGAGATGACTCACTTATCGAGGATCGGGGCTTGTGGACGTCTATGAAGCGGAGGAAGCGGTGCGTGGTGGTGTGTCAGGGGTTCTATGAGTGGTTGAAGAAGGGTCCGGGAGGGAAAGAGAAAGTTCCACATTTCGTGAAGAGGAAGGATGGGGATTTGATGTATTTTGCGGGCTTGTGGGATAGTGTTAAGTATGAGGGTGAGATAATATATCTTCATATGTCTGAGGGAATGTTGGGGGGTCGGAGCTAACTGGGATACAGATTCCGATGAATACCTTTACACATATACGATCATTACGACATCGTCGAATGCCTACTTGAAGTTTTTGCATGATCGGATGCCCGTGATTCTGGATCCGAATAGCGAGGAGATGAAGATTTGGCTGGACCCCTCCAGGACGGAGTGGTCGAAGGAGCTGCAGTCGATCCTCAAGCCGTATGAGGGCGAGCTGGAATGTTATCCTGTGGCGAAGGAGGTGGGGAAGGTAGGGAATGATTCGCCAGACTTTATAGTTCCGGTCAGTAGTAAGGAGAATAAGAGCAATATTGCGAACTTCTTTGCCAATGCGAAGAAGGGTGCTGCGGTGAAGGTGGAACAAGGAGTGAAGGATGAGAGACCCACGAAAGATGCGGAATGGAGCGAGGATAATGCTCCCAAGCCGGTAGCTGGAGTCAAGAGGGAACATTCTCCGGATGTCGAGACGGAGGATACCAAGTTGCAGGAAACGGAGCCGAGTGTAGATACATCGCCGAAGAAGAGCCCGGAGAAGACCTCGCCGTCCAAGCCTGTGACGCCGGCAGGGAAGAAGATGCGCAGTGCCACGCACAATAAGCCGTTGAAGAAGAGCCCGCAGAAGCAGCCTCCTGCAGGGACTCAGCGGATTACGAACTTTTTTGGGAAGTGAGGCATGGGATTTGCATGAAAGATAGAGATACCCAGAATCTAAGCTCCGGGCTGGACCCGGGAGCTAATCATCTGTAATTCAGGCATGATCCAATTGTGTCAACTGCCAGCAGTTTGAATGGAGATACCATCCCACAAAGCCCATTAAATAATACAATCATGAACTATTGTACAAGGCTCCTAACCAAGTAGCCTATTGAGACTCTTGCTGGCGCAGTCTCTGGACCAACTTCTCCCGTAGAAACGGGCTCAGACCGAAACTAACCACAAGTTAGCACACCTCACGCAGTCATATCAGGAATAGAGAGAACCTACATTCCATCACGAGTCACAATCCGATAAGTCCCTAACCAAGGTCAGCCACACCATCATCCAACCCAACAACCCACCATAAATCAATCACTTAACTTACCACTCGCCTGATAATTACCATTCCCTCCCACAAACTTCCCATCAGCATCCACCTCCAGACTCCCAAAGATATCCTCAGGCCTATCCATCCCATCTCGTCAGCCGCACATCCCACATCCCAACTCCGCAGGAACGAACAGGAACAGGAAATAAACATACCAAGCAATCCTCCCATACTCCGGCGGCCGTCTACCATCCGACAAATGAATCCAGCCCCCCCTCCCCGCCGAACCAGCACCCCCTTGACCACTAGCTCCGCCACTGGAGTCACCGACTTCGCCGCGCCGTCTCCTCGACCGTGCGCCACCCATCAGCACTCCCCCGGACATTAGGTTAGCGCCTGCTGTTGAGACCATCACCTGGGCCTGGGAAACCGCTTCTGGGTCTTTGTATCCATGCTCCGCGATCACTTCTTGCAGGATGTTGAGGAATTTCGGGTTCTCTTTGAAGGAATCGGGTGTTGGGGGGAGCTTGGAGGTTACGCCGAGGGCGAGATCCGGGTTGGTGGGTTCGGAGGGGAGAAGGGAGAGGATGTTGGTGCCGTTTTTGGGGAATACGTACTGGGAAGGAAAGTTAGTAGGGTTGGTTTGCAGATTGCTTCGGTTTAGCTAGCTCTTGAACGAAGTAGTACATACGATGTGAGAATGGCCCTCTAGCGTGGACACAGCTCGGAGCTGCGTCCACCTAGGCGTCTGGCGGACGAACGAGCGAATGCCAAACATTTTAAACGAAGTGCCGATGAAAAGAATTGGAGTTCAATTGAACTTAGTAAATAAACGCTGGGTAGAATATCCGAAGACCTGGAGAAACTATGACGCTGCGCAGACAAACAGGGCAAACTCATGTGACTGCGCGTTTGCGGCCGCGACCAGTTGATGGTCGGTACTAGGCACGACCATCTGTTCGGCCTTCTCCCCCTCCATTGCGATTTAGCTCCCTGGGTTGTGGTTCTTGATTGCGTGTGTTATGGAGGTTCATCTACTATACTTTCTTGAATAGACAGTGGCGCTTGCGCAATCATTTTCTCTCTTTCGGTTTGCCCCGCTCAAGTCGTGTGTTTTTGCTGTCGTCCGACGTATGGAGCATCCATGATTTCATCGGCTGCTTGATTTCTTCTCCATTATCTCTCTATTTTTCTGCATGATACCCAGCCTTTGTTTGCTACTTCATACACTTTGTAAATTTCCTATTCGGGGTGGATAGATCTCACTTCCCAATAAACACCATCATGGCGACTCCCTCATCGAAGCCAAACCCCGGAGCGACTCCGACACATCTGACTTCGTCGCCTCATCCGTCTGGTGCTCATATGGCCCGGCCGATTTCCCACAAATCGCCCTCAACGAGAACGCCCTCAGCTTCCGGTCATGGACACAACCAACCCCCCGTTTCAATGCACCAATATTCTACCCCTCTCGCCGCGACTACCGGAGCCGAGGACCCCGTTACCTTCAGTTCCCCGTCGGCTCTCCTCGCGCTCGGTGGCTATAGCGGGATCAGTCCGTCCCCCGCCGGACACGACGGTCTTGTCGGCGCAGGCATGAACGAGAACGATATCCAGGCATTGGGCATGCCGGGACTGAAGCTCGGGGGTGCTCGCGACAGCGAGGAGGAGCGCAGAAGACATATAGATGACGTGGTTCAGCTCCTACGAGCCCGCGTCTCGGGGCGGGGTGTGTGCAGGGAGGGTATTGAGCGACTGAGTGATCTCGAAGGGTTCGAGTCGATTTGGCAGGAAGACAGTCTCAGCATTGCGGGGAACTTTGTCGATCTGGAGATTGACTTCCATCGAGGGTATAATGTGGTGAAGGATGTTAGTCTGAAGTATGCGACGCCTGATGCGCAAGATGGGGAGCAGCGTGACGAGGCTACGGCGGTGCTTAAGCGCGATTTGATACAGTCGCCGGAGGAAGGAGACCGGGGTGCTTGGAAGTCGTTGCGTGGGTTCCATGAGAATCTACAGTGGCTTGCCAAACATGATCGGCTTAGTCAGGAGGTTAATTGTTTCGAGGCCATTGAGGGTCTTTACGAGAGCTTGAAGCGCGTGTGGGAGGCGGAGTGGAAACATCGCAAGTTTGCGGGGGTGTACGACCATCTTTGCAGTGGCTGGGTTGGCCAGCCGTGTATGCACAAGGGGAGTCGCATTGGACTCGGTTTGGATTACTGGGTGCAGCAAGCACGGGTTCTGGATGCGAAGGAGAAGCAGAAGACGTCGTCTGA